GAGGAGGGCGCAGGGAGGAGGGAGGAGGGGAGATCTCGCTCTCGCTCTCGCCCCGCGGGAAGGGGGAGGTGGAGACGCGACCGGCTGCGGGAGCTGCAATTACCGTGTGGGCTGCGGAATTCTCGTGGTGTTTGTCGGGGAGATGCGATAATGGCGTCCGTCCTCGCGAGAGAAGCTGCCGCTCTGCGCAGGCGCTGCGAGATGCTCCCCGCGGCCCTCCGCCCTGCACCGTCTGCGCAGGCTCCCAGGGCGGGGCGCGCCAGGAGCGCGGGGGCGGGGCTAGAGGCGGGGCCTGCTGTTCAAGGCCTTCCGCGCGCGCTTTCGCCCGCGTCCGTGACCGCCGAGCATGCGCACCCGTCCTGCTCCCGCGCTACAGTTTGGGCCCCGTAGAGGTCTTACTTGCCCATGGTGCGCTAGGGCTTCTCACTTGCCCATGAGAAGTCGCGTTTGTGGGCTATAGAAGTAATTTGCATTTTCTTTGAGACTGAATGAATAGGAATTAGTGCCCACCCAACGACTACATATCCCGGAGGGCCCTGCGCGAACTGCGAAAAGTGCATTCTGGGATTCGTAGTCCCGGCGTCTGCGCTATACCTGCCGGTACTCGTAGTCTCGCCTTACTCCGGTCGCCCGTCCCGCGCCGCAGGCTGCTGGGACTTGTAGTTCAGACGCTTGAGCCGGCTGCGTTTGGCCAGTGCTGCCGCTTCCGTCCTGCCAGCGTTCCCCCAAAGAGTAGGTGGTACTCCAAGGTCCCCAGTTTCAGTCACACGGTCTTGAGTGCACGCGCTTGGAAAAAATATGTTAATTGTACGTGATATGTATTTTGTATGTAATTAATGTCATATATCGTATGTGCTTACGTAAATATAAACTATATTACAAATGAATATAAATGTAGCAAGTATGTGAATATATTTATAAAGCATAAGTGCGTGTTTATGAGTACTCATAGGAAAAAATTCCCTAACAATACTCAGCAATGTTATTCCTGCTTACTGTCATCGCCATTGCTTTTCATGTATGCTGGGATTACCATTACTTTTCATTTTTCTTCTTTTACTTGTTTCTATTTTCCGAGTCGTTTACATTGAGGAAGAATTCCTTTGATCATCCAAACACAAGACCATGAAGCTATTTCATTTGGAAAAGAAAATGCTTTACTATGAGTTTCTTGCTCATTTCCCTTTTGCCAACAATGAAAAACTTGATTCAGGACAGCAACCAGCTGTGCAACCTTGAGCGACCTTGTTGAGTTAGAGTCGCTTCCAGAATGAACACTATGGTTCTGCTGAGGCTGGTCACTGGATTCCCTTACAGGAAAAGTGCTTTAAAGAAATTCAAAGAACCACAGAAAGGTCAGCACTGGAAAAGATACTAATATGGAAATGAGATATGGCCTATATAGAGATGAGAAGTCCAAAGAGATTGGAAAAATTGCACAGCAGCAAGGTCACATGGCTGGATAACAGACAAAAGCAGAGTTTGGAATCTAAAACACCTTGATCTGGAGTCTGGAGTCTACTAAGAGTGGGGAAAAAGGTTACAAAAGCTAACCACAAAATTCCTGAGAGAGGCATGAGGGTAAAAATGTTCTAGCGAGCTAGCTATGCCTTCCATCTGCACCTCTGCCTCAATCACGGCCAAATCTAAACACTTAACTATGTAGGAAATCTTAACATTCTGCATCTAACTAGAAAGCAGATAAACGTAGTGTGTTATTTTTCATACTATTCCATAATATCACAAAGTCCTTGCTTGCAGCTTCCTTGCAGGTGTGGTTTTGCTAGCTCCTTCCTGCCTAGGCCTTGCACGTTGCTTGGCTCCAAGCCACTGCTGACTAAGTCATGATCAGAAATTAAAGCAATCAAATTATAATTGTGCCTATGCTGGAGTTGTTAACTTCTCTTTTTTGTTTTCCATGTTTTAGATTTATTTTTTATTTTGCTGCCCAGGAAGCTCAAATAGAGGAAAGTATTATTTAATAGTCACATCTAGCTGATTAATCGTGGTTTAAAAAAAAAAATTAAATAACTTGAAATAGGCAAAGACAGCTTTCTACCAATGAAGGATCACTTCTCGACCACAGAGGACCCTTCTCCTTGCCAGTCAATTCATACAAGAATCCAATGGAAGTTCCTGGAGTTAATTAGGCTGAAGTCACATTGGTGGAGGTTTTATAGAAAGAGAGGGAAGTGTACCCTGGCTTGGATTACACCAAAAATGGGGGACCACTTAGATGTATGTGTTCTGGGCATTTGCAAAGATTTCAAAGGCTGCCTCTTCAAAAGCAGGCATGCTCACTTTAAGCAAAACCTGGAATCCTTCAGAACAGTCCTGTTCCTGAAGATGTCACTAGGATGGAGAAAAGTGGATTATTCATGAAGCCCTTAGTTGCCCAGGAAATGTCTAGAAAACTAAGCACCGCTATCCATAAGAGCAGATGCATATGAGCAGATCTGACCTGGGCTTTGAACCCAGGCTATCCTGTACCGAGTTGTTGAGGCTTCAAACTCACAACTCATGGGCATTTGGGCAGGATTCAATAAAGAAGCTTGTAAAGGGTTTAGTGGAGGGTATGATTCAGGAAATAATCATATTACCATGTGTTGAGTTCCTATGTTTTGAGCCAGGCACATCTTATTTTAATCCCAATTTTTTGTGAAGAACATGAAGTTCAGAGAGATTAAGCAACAGTCCCAAAGTCACAGGCCACCACCGTGCTAGAACTTTGAAGGATGTGGCAGAAAAGATGGTTAGAATGTGGGCTGTGCAGGTCTTCAGGTCCTTGTTGGCCAAGGGATGAGTTTTATCTTGATCTTCAAAATAATGGGAAGCCTTTACAAGGTTTGGAGCAAGGGTGGATATGATCAGATTTGTGCTTTCAAAAGTCACTCTGGCCAAAGTGTTGGCAAATTGGGAGTGGAGACGAGGGGTCCTGAATGGATCTGAGGAGAGCACTTGAGGAAGCTGTGGCAGGCATCTGGGCAAGAGATCACCCTGAACTGGGGTGATCCTAGGTAGAGACTGAGATGCAGAGAAGTGAGCAGAATCAGGAGGTGAAATTAATAGGACATGACCATGAATTCAGTATTGAGAGCAGTAAGGGAAAGGGGGCAGCTGGGATGCCTCATTGGCCTATAGAGGTGTAGAACTGGATGGATGAAAGTGCCATTCTCTGAGATGGGGAACTCTGGTCACCACTGGCCACTGGTTGCCATGGCCATAGGGACTGCCAGGAACAATCTCAGCACCTACTGGGAAGAAATCAGGTTTTGGGGTAAACTTGAGTCCTGGAGATAGAGCCTATCGGATAATTCAGGGGAAATGGGGAAAAAGCAGCACCCAGCACCCTCTGTAGCCCCATCTCCCCGTGGAACGGATTCCACCCAGACCTGGGAGAGGCCACAGCCACATGTTCTGGGCCATTAACAGATTTAAGGACCGGGAAGTGGTGTCAACAACATGACAATAGGAGGTCCCCCATCATATCTTCCCTCAGCAACAATAATTTGACATCCATCCGTAAGCAGAAGTGCCTTTGTTGGAACTTTGGGATTCAGGTAGGAGACTATGAAACCCTGGTGGAGCCCCAAACCAAGGAGGGCCATTTTGAGTCGTCTGCCCCCTAGTGGCTGACTAGCGGAAAGACAAATACTGTATAATCTCACTTGTGGAATCTAAAAAAGTCAAACTTATTAAAAAAAAGTCAAACTTATAAAACAATGGTTGCCATGGGCTGCAGGGTGGGGAAAATGGGAAATATTGGTCGAAGGGTACAAACTTTCCGTTGTAAGAGGAATCAGTTCTGTAGATCTAATGTACAGCATAGCGACTCTAGTTAAAGATTAATGAAGACTTCCATCACCTCACATAGTTATTGTTTTTTCTTTTTGTGATGAGAATACTTAAAATCTTAGTAAATTTCAAGCATAGCCACTCTAGTTAATAATTCTGTATACTAAGATCTTAAGTATGCTCACCACTAAAAGAAAAACGATAAATATGTGAGGTGATGGAAGTGTTAATCTGATTGTGGTAATTCGGAATGTGTGTGTGTGTATATATATGTGTGTGCGTGTATATATATGTATATATATAATCATTTTGTTTGTCAATTATACCTTTATAAAACTAGGTTATAAATTTTTTTAAAAAATTTTTAAAGAGATAAGGACCCTACCACTGATGCATGGATATGACGTCTTGTGGACCTTAGAGAGCTACTTAAACCTCCAGTGCCTTAGTTTCTTCCCTGTAAAATGGGGTGATAAGACCTCATGAGGTAGCATGGCTTTGAGTACAGACTCACAGGGCTTCCGCTCCCAGATCCTATTGCCTCGTGTGGCTATGGACCAGTAACATAACATCCCTGGCCTCAGTATCCTCATCTGTAAAATGGGACCAAAAAAAATCTACCTCACAGAGTTATTTCTGAGTTTTGAAATTGACCACGGAAAATGCTTTTGGCACAAAGGGGACACTGATACTTTTTGTAAAAAAATTGTGTCGATACAAATGACTTAGACAATAATACTACTACTACCAATGAAACGATACTACTACTCCTAGCCCCTGGCAACCACTGATCTACTTTCTATCTCTACATATTTGCCTGTTCTAGACATTTCATATAAATGACATCACACAATATGTGGCTTTTGTTTCTGACTTCTTTCACTCAGCATAATGTTTTCAAGATTCATCCATACTGTAGCATGTGTCAGCGCTCTGCTTATTTTTCTTAATCAATAAACTTTCTTTTATAGAGCCGTTTCCAGTTCATAGCAAAGTTGAGCAGAAAGGTGCAGAGATTTCCCACATACTCCTGGCCTCTCCACACACAGAGCTTCTCCCATTTTCAAAATTCCTCCCCAGGGTGGGGCGTTTGTTACAAGTAATGAACCTACACTGACACATCAGCATCATCCAGGGGCCACAGTTTACACTAGGGGTCACTCCCGGCAGTATATGTTCTTTGTAACTTTTGCTAATATTTTCTCCTAGCCTGTCGCTTGTCTTCTCACTCTCTTGACAGTGTCTTTCACAGAGCAGAAGTTTTTAATTTTCTTGAAGTCTAGCTTACCTATTATTTTTTCCACGGATTATGCCTTTCTTGTTGTATCTGAAAAGTCATCGCTGAACCGAAGGGTCATGTAGTTTGTCTCCTATGTTCTCTTCCAGGAGTTTTACAGTTTTGCATTTTGCAGTTAGGTGTGATCCGTTTTGAGTTCATTTTTGTGAAGGGTGTAAGGTCTATGTGTCTAGATTCATTTTTTTGTATGTGAGTGTCCAGTTGTTCCAGAACCATTAGTTGAAAAGACTATTCTTTCTCCATTGTTTTACTTTTGCCTCTTTATCACAGATCAGTTGACTATATTTATCTGGGTCTATTTCTGGGCTCTCTATTCTGTCCTATTGATCTATTTGTCTTTTTTTTTTTTTTTTTTTGCCAATACCACACTGTTTTGATTACTGTAGCTTCATTCCTTTTTATGACTGAAAATTGCATTTTGCAACATACCACTTTTATTTATCTGTTCATCCATTAATGGACATTTAGGTTATTTCTACTTTTTGGTTATTATGAATAAAGCTGCTATGAACATTTGTGTACAAGTGTTTGTGTGGATATAAGTTTTCATATCTCTTGGGTATTTTGCCTAGGAATGGAATTGCCAGGTCGCATGGTAACTCTAGGTTTAACGTATTGAAGAACTTGCTTGACTTCCTAAATGACACTGTTCATTGTTGTGGGTGAGCAAACGCTGACTTCCTGATTCAGAGCCATCTCAGCTCATGCCTGCTAGAGCAGAGGTGAGCTATTTCCACTAAGCCCTGCCCACGTTACAGATGTGCGAGCTCAATAAATGATTGTTGTTTTCAGCCACTAAGTTTTGGAGTGGTTTGTTAGGCAGCAATAGATAATTGGGGCATAGGCTTCTGGGCATACTTTCTATCCCAATCAAAAAATTTCCTTGTACCAGGTAAGAATTGGGAATAGGCAGTCGGCCAGTTCCATGCAATACAGCATGCACTGATTGTGCACCTTACATGTACATATGGCCGTGAGTAACAAACAGCCACGTGGTAGCATTCAAAGAGATAACGAGCTCAAGGCCACATGCTTGAGACCTGCCTGTGCCACTTTCTAGCTAGGGAGAACTTAGACGATGCAAGTCACACTCTCAGCTTTGGTTCCTTCATCCGTAAGATGGAGACTAAAATGGACCTTTTGGGTACTAAGTTAGGACACTTTGGAATACAGAGGGAAAAAATTTTAACTGGCTTAATAAAAGGAACTTATTGATTCATATAAATAAAAAGTTTGGAAGTAGACTTTAGGATATAGGAATAGGAATCGCTTGGCTAAGCAATATCATATTCTCTCTGTGTGTCGCTTTCTCTCCTCTTTGTAAACCAGTGTGACAACTGGACTGACCCTTGTGGTTTTTATCATGAGAACAAGACCCCCTTCAGCGATAACCATTGGGAAACTTTGAAGAAAAAAAAGTTTATTATTTACAGGCCCTGGAGCATATAAAGCGTGGGAAGAGAAAGAAAGACAAGTAGCCTAAATAGTCAGTTATGGTATTTCCATCAGAAAGAGGCGCATGGTGGTATAGGCTTATATTTCATGGAAATTCCCAGAAGAAGTCACAAGAAACTGCTATCTGCAGTTTACTCTGGAAAAGAGACTTTTACTTTTCACCTTTAAACTGTTTATACACTGTATGGCTTTTATATTTTTTTAATGGCAGAGGTTTTAGTTTCTACTGTCACAGTGATTAAAATGATGTGCGAGTCAGCTGTGAGGGATGTACAGGACAGGACGAGTTGAGTTGATAATATTTTCTCCGTAAAGCAGAGCCCTGGCGTGTGGCTACAAGGAAGACAGGGTGACCCCAGACCCACAGGGATGGCCCACAATGCAGTCTACCTAAAGTACGCAGGCCGAAGATGGCAGGGCAGCCTGGGATGGCCGAGGACGTGCCCCTAAGAGCAAAGGGGACCTGTGAGTGTCAGCTGCCCGGCTCGCCAATGCCAGGGGAAGCCTGCGTTCATTCAGGGCCTGCAGCGTAGTGCTTGGCATGTAGTAATAATAGTGGTATCGTTCTAAGCTCTTTGCTCTTGTCAATTCATTAAAACCCTCACAACAACGCAAGAGAGTGTTATTATTTCCCCACTTTACAGATGAGGAAACAGAAGGCAGACGTGAAGGAAGGAAAGAAGGAAGGAAGGGTAGTTACATTTCTGTAATGATTCCATGGAAAGAAAAGCATATATATTCTAGAGCTGTTTTTTGTTGATTGCAACAAACGCAATCGAACTCATGGGCCAGTCAGAGAACTGAGTGAAAGCTACAGACCAAATTATCCACATGATCAATGGCATTTTGGGGTTCCCAGGAGCCCACAAGCAAACTCAAGGTTCAGAAGCCCTTTTCTATGGGGTTTTCCAGGTCTAAGATACCAAGATTCTGCAATAAATTATGATATCCCTGCCCTCTCAAAGATTATAAATTTAATCTCACTAAAAAGATTACAAACTTCTGCAATCCTGTGGACTCCATTTCACAAGCAAAAAGTATCTGCGTAATAAACGGCTCTATGGTCCAAAGTAGGTTGGTTTGTTATCTGGCATCTGCAAATATTATAAAGTGTATAATAAAGAGAACCATCTAATTTACTGTCCAACTGCGGGGACTTTCATGCATGAAAGGGGCACTATTAATATTTATATGAAAACAAGATCCGCAACCTGGGAATGTCCTGGGCCAACCCAGACCGCGTACTTAGGGCAGAACGAATTTGTATCAAATCATATCTGTTTTCTGGAAAGTGGGGATGGCTGCTTTTCCAGGAGCCCTAGGCAAGGAGGTCACCTGCTCACCTGCCGCACCCACCCTGCAGCTTTGACTGATTCCCATCCCTGCCCTTTTGAACCTATCACTCCCTATACAGACACACAGCATGGTTTTGTGCCTGGTCTAGAGTAGTCTGAGTCCAGAGAGCCACAAGGCTCCAAACTAGAGGTCAACACTAAAGAGCAGGGACTTCGCCCTTGTCTGTGTGCCCTCACCTGCTCCCCAGCATGGGACTCACAACAGGCCTGCCTGCCTGGCTCGTTCACCCAGCTGTTTACCAGAGCAAAGCACAGTGACCCCAGGGGCCCGGCCACTGTGAAGGCTACTCATCCCAGCACGCCCACCTCTTAAGCCAAACAGAGTATCATCCTAAAAGCTGGGATGGGCATAGGTTGAAATTTAACCATCAGGCTCATGGTTTGGGTGAGTTTTTACAATAAAGTGTGGGTCCAATCTACTCCACCGTTGCCCCGATCAAAGTGAGGACACATAGTAGGACAAATCGCCCTCTTTGTTGGGCTCCACGAGGAATAGATCCAAGATGCTAAGAACCCCGATGTTGGGCAGGAGCCGTCCCAAGTCCTCAGGTTTCTCCACTTTGACCAAGCAGGTGTGGGGGACCCTACGAAGTCGTCGGCTAACACCGGAGCGACGGTGTGCTCAGCTTCCCTGCGCACAGAGAAGCAGGATCAACGCCTGTAAGTAGAATTTCTCAGATTTCTTAGAATCCTTGAATTTCTGCAAAAGCAATTTACTCTTTGTCTAATTTTATGGTGTCTTTCAAAATGGAAGGCAGTCTGGAGCCAGAATGCTTGGGTTCACATATCTACTCTGCCTCTTTTCCTATGAGTGACCTTGGGCAAGTCCTTTAACCTCAGATTCACAGGGTGATCGGGGAGGCAAGAGACTTGGAACAAGACAGATAGCAAGTGCCCCACCTTCCCCACCAAGACAAACGAGATAGAATGAGCCAGTCGTAGAGAACCAACCGCCCCCCGCCCCAGCAGAAAACGTTCTCAGCAAACATGCAATAAATAGATCACCCAGCCAGTTCCGTCCAGAGACCGCCTCGCATCAGCCTCATCCTGGCCTTGGCATAGTCAATACTCTGTGAACTTGGAAGTTGGCTTCTGATGTAAATATTTCGCACTTTCCCGGATTGGGCTTCAGAGCTCGGAAGCGTGGGCTTCAGAGGCAGTCGCCCCTGGGGGTGGGCACAAGTGACACTCGTCCGTGGTGAGAGCTGGGCGGGTTTTTCACCTCCCTGAACCTCAGTTTCCTCTTCTATAAAACCAGGTGTTGCACGGGGCAGTGTAAAGATGAAACGCGAGTGGAAAGCCTGGAACACACCAGGCTCTCAGTGAGCTTTATCAGCTCTTTCCAATTAATCTGTTGGTCCACACCTGAGGACGATGCCCAACTCTGTCTCGAAACCACAGGACAATTTACAGAGGCACTTTGGTTCCACGTGGGTTCCTGTTAGGCTAGAACTCGGGCCTGTGAAGGTGAGGGTGGGCAGCTGGGATGTGCTGGCCCACATCCCCTGGGGTCAGCTCAGGCTCGTGCTTCAAGAGGGCTGCTGTATTCAGGAACTGCTGCAGGTCTCAGACTGCAGGAAACCCAAGGAGTCTTCCAGGACGTGGCAGGAAGAGCAAAACTAAAGTCATCAGGATCCCCATCAAACCCTGTCTCCTGAAGGGATGGAATGCAAGTTTAATCCCAAACCCTAACCCTGGTCCTTTCGGTTACCCCCACGCTCAGAGTAGGGTTCCCAAATCAGTGGCAGTAGCTCCTGGGAGCCTGCTAAAATGCAGGACCTCAGGCCCCACCCCAAACCACACAGCAGCGTATATGCTCATGTAGAAAATCCCTCCGACACCAGTTCCCAGAGAGGCAACTGCCAGGAGTGGTTTGCAGTGCAACCTTCTGACACTTGGCCCCACGCACACAGAAACGTGTCCACACATACACAAGGCTTTTCAAAAAGTGAAAAGTACCGCACTTTATGTGTTGATCTGGACCTCGGTTTTCTTCACTTAACTGTGGATGTCTCTACAATTGTCTCTCAGTACCTGTCCCCTCTAAGTACT